AAAGAAAATAATATTTGCTGGATATGCTGTTAGAATGACCTTGGTTGCGAAAGTAGTAAAAAGCAATTCTATAGCTGTTACCTTGATCATCGCCTTTTGCATGCTTTAGCATGTCATTACTAGGACTCAGCTCCTGTTATCTGATTTAGTATTTTATGTAACCTCATCTCTGCAAATGGTCCATGAAACATTCACAACTAGATCGTCTGCAATTTATTCAGCGGCAATTGTTGTATCATACTTCTTAATAGTTAAACCTTCGGCTCCTCAGCTACTTTGCTGGATATTGTTTGTTGCGATGGCCAGGAATTCTTCAGCTTGTCATCTGCCGCGTCATTAAAGGATGGATTCCAATGGACTTCGATTACTCAAAAAAAGGTTATCTTGCTTCCTCTCATGCAATCACGGTAGACCAGGCAAGCTAGGCTATGGTTGTCTTAACTCGAACAGCCCAAGTTTGACCTGACTGGATCCGACAAGATCAGACTAGACTAAGCGAGACTAGGCTAGTGCAGGCTAGGCAAAGATAGCCACGTGTCATTTCAGTGATCCATCCATACCAACTCGACCTCATGCTTAATCAAACGGACGATTAAAATATTAACACCGAGAAAAGGAGCAAATCGATGAACATCGTGACCACATCAACGAATTCTGCGTCTGCAGCCAGCAATAATAACGAGTCTACTACTTCGATCACTGATACTAAGAATACGGAACCTACAAATCCTGAGACCACAACCAACTCTGATACCGATTCCATCGCTTCTATCTCTGAATCAAAGAGCCCAACGCTCACGGATTCTATGTGCACCATTGGACCTGATACCGACTCTGCCCTTTTATAGGCAAAAGTACGCAGAATCTATTTACCTATGTAACGCAATTATTCCACCCGCAGTAAAAGCCAAATTAGTGCCTCGCCAGGGACAACAACAACGTGCGCTTCATTGCACAGAACAACCCGTTGCCCACTATGCATCAGTTGACAAGTTCTATCAGTAAATAATCCCCTTATTTTCTTTCTTTAATTTACCGAGTAGGTAGACGTTTGTCTTTGCAAGTACCCTTTGACTGTGCATTTATAGAAGCGTCAAAGGAAGATTAGTGGCAAAGTTGTGGCAGTGAGATGATAATTGTTGCATCAAAATAAAGATAGACAGCTTTTGAGGAAGTACTTACGGTGATAGGCGTGCACATGAAAATCAACTTTAGGGCTGCATTTAATCCGCCAATATTCATTCTCGATCTCTAAATCTACATAGAAAAACCAAATGACACTAATAACATTAAAGATACAGCTTCGACAATCTTCTAAGTTTTAAATCTAAATGATCATTTTACCAGCGATACCCTAGTTTAGTGCGAATGAGTTGCTGGCTCAGCACCTCTCATTGAGGATGGCACTTTTACAAATTACTCACATCCTAAAACTAACAGAAGTAAATTCTTCTTATCAGAACAACTAACTTAAAAGATACCCAGTATTTACTCAGCAACATTACCGAGAGAGTAGTTTAAATGAAAGATTAGGGCAGGGGTAGCATCGCAAGTGTACCGA